GGCAAATTGTCGGTAATGTTACAACTTCTCTTTCCGGAAAATAGCCAGAACGAAATTACCGGTATTTTCAAAAAGGACCTGTTCACACATACAACCTTTCCGGAAAATTGCCGGCAATTTTCCAGAAAGGTCTGTATGTGTGAAAGGGGCTATAGTCCTCACTGTGGCTGACGCCAACTTGACACACACCTCTCAAAAAATGTAACTACATATCGCAACAACACGTAGCGCAAGCTCTGTGATTGCGTCTGTTTCGCTACATGTGAAGAGCGTCACATCACCTTTTCGCATTCGTCGCAAATTTTGTGACATCACCCGGATGGAGGAGCTTGGCCGGACACGCCCTAGACCGAACCAATCACGTGGATCGAGCACGCCGTTGTTAATATTAGGAGGAAAATAAATATATGTATGCTGTTTTGGAGCTTGAACAAACTTTAAGACCTCGTAAAAACGCAATTAAGACCTTTTAATAACATTTAAGGGCCTTAATTTTCTCATAATTGATTTATCAACTTTTAATACTTTTCAAGACCCCGCAGACACCCTGATGTTATTGTAAACTCACAACAAAGATGTTAAAAAGAATGACAGACAACCTTAAACTCAAGCAGAAACAGATGAAGCTCACCAACTGCGGCAGGATCTTTTCAAAGTGCTCAATAGTAACTGTGTCACAGTCCTCGCTGCTGGCCTGTTTGATCGCTCGCCGTGTCGCTTCTGTACAAAACAATCATCATCATATCAATGAGAGAAACATTACACTGCACTGTACTATAATGCACACAGAGCCAGTCCAGGTGAAGCTCATCTTACCTTCAACAAACACTTTCAACATCTCCGCCACGAGGACGACAGCATCACTACTGACTGTGGAAGAAAAAGGTTACAGCTGAATGTGGAGATCCTGCAGACCATCATCTGGCAGAGGATGAAGGAGCCAGCACACTTTAAGTTAGGGATAAAAACATCCAGCAGGTTGTTATCGCAGAATAAAGCTTGGCAGGTTTATCGGCAGTCCGTCGTGAAGCGGAGCACTGTTATATTAGACTGAAGAGCTTTATTCCGTGAAATAAAAAACGTCCTGTATGTACTTTATACTGCTTATTACATGGCTACTTGCCACAAAACAAAAACTAGACACAAAATATTGTTCTGAGTCATAATAGTTTATTACTTATTTAAATACAAAGCTGACAGAAATAAAAACAGCTGATGACTAAATTTATTATTTAGTCACAAGATGGTGCCAAAAACACAAAGCTGACAGAAACAAAATTGGCTGAATAAAGCTTATACTAGCCTATGCATTATTCATTCACATGATGGTGTCAAACAGACAAAAACAGATACTTAGTAAGTGTATAGATTTAAACACATTTACTGACGTGAAGGTGATTGAAATTTCCTGGATGAGCCTGTGTTATACAGTAATTGTTATCTCGCAATAACATAGCTTGGAATGTTGCGACTGACCAATCAGAATCAAGTTGTCCAGATAGACATGTAATTGTTATAACTTTGAAAACAACTTTTTTTGTCAAACCTACTGCAAACTTTTACGAGCGATAATATCATTAAATGTGGAGGGGGGCCTTACAATATTTTTTTAGAGGGAAAAGGGGGTCTTAAGTTTAAAAAAAAGTTGGGAACCACAGAGGAAAAGTTGGTTTTATATTCGCACATTCGTTCATTTAGAAGTCTCTATATCGTTTACCATGTTACTTTGAATATTTGAACGGAATTAGGATGCAAGTGTGACTTAAAAACAACATTAACACTATCTAATTCACTGTGAACAATGCTGTACTTTGATTATCATTTGCTGCTAATATGATTTCCCTATTTATAATTTGCAAATAATACTTTTCTGAAATGATATTCAGCAGAAAGTCTGAATATCCGAATATAAAACCAACTTTACCTCTGTTGCTCTAACGTTAGGCCAGTAGCCTAAATGATAGACATTTTTTAAAACTTATATTACAACAGCTTTTAAAGACACTAAAATCAATATAACGCTGACTAAAATAATAATAACAACAACAACAGTTTGTCATAGAAAGATAATTCAAAATGTCAAAAATGGGGTTTCATGCATCAAAACAATAACAATCGTGCGTGCGCGTGTGTGTGTGTGTTTGTTTATCTCCTGAACTCACCTCTGGTTTTGTCCTCTCTGAAAGAGCGACTCAACAGCTTAGCAACAGTTTCCTGAAAAACAAAAACAGACGAATGTTAGACGTTACAAACAGGAACGAAAGCATACGAAATACGTCAATGACCCTAGAATATTAAACTTGCTATCGTTTAATGAACTGTTTGTTAAAGACGAGAAGACATTAACAAAGAAATGTGTTGAATTAAACCTTTTTAAACGCCACTTCATTTCCCGCGGTCGCCATTCTGTCAGGTTGTCGTCATGAAGGCTCCTGTGAGTCACTGGCTGTCCGCTTCTTCGTGTGCTGAATGGCACTTCGGACAGGACGCTGCTTCTCTCTAGCGCATCATAACAGAACTGCACATCTGCCAAATTGGGTTTCATGTTTATTGTTTTAAATTCTGTATTATATATTTTTATATTCTATATTCTGACAATGATAGAACTGTGCTAGGAGGATGAAACATCATAAGCATATAAACTATAGAGTATAACCATATAAAAGGCAGATTAAGAGAGCTTAAGTTTTTCTCTCATTATTTCTCTCATTGTGTTTGTGCGTCTGTGTGTGTGTGTTCAGGTGAAATATCACCTTGGTTTCAATTGTTAAAGCATACTTGTTTAATCTAATAGATTTTCTCGTTGTGAATTTTTTGTCATTTCTACACTTTAGCCTACCAATTTTTCTGACAAACAATACTATTTAAAAAAAATCCTCCTTAAAGTAATAAACTAATAATGATGTTCAACACAAGACAAACCACTACAAAGACAACACAAAATACACACAAATTACAACAAAACAAATAAAACAGAACACAAAAAACAAGACGGCAAACGCAAGACAAAACACAACAAAACAACACAAAACACACCACAACATTCATTTATTTATTTTATTTTCGGCTTAGTCCCCTTATTAATCAGGGGTCACCACAGCGGAATAAACCACCAACTATTCCAGTATATGTTTTACTGAGCGGATGGCCTTCCAGCTGCAAACCAGTACTGGGAAACACTCATGCACTCTCACATACACACACACTCATACACACCAAATTCGTTTATTCAGTTCACCTATAGCACATGTCTTTGGACTGTGGGGAAAACCAGAGCACCTGGAGTAAACCCACGCAAAACACGGGGAGAACATGCAAACTCCACACTAGAATTGCCAACTGGCCCAGCCGGGACACGAATCTGCAACTTCTTTGAGGTGACAGTGCTAACCACTGAGCCACTGTGCCGCTCTTAATTCTAATTATATATTAGTTAGTAAAGAATAAAAGCTAGGATGTTCTGGGAAAGAAAATTTCTGGCTCCCAGAATGTTCTGCTGGTCAATAATCAAAGTTCTAATACCATAAATAGAAAGTTCCTTTCAGCTAAGTAGGTATGAAAAAGTTGATTGTTCATTCCGCTGTGGTGACCCCTGATTAATAAAGGGACTAAGCCGAAAGGAAAACAAATGAATGAAATTACTTTTAACTGAGCTTCCATGTTTGTTTGTTTGTTTGTTTGTTTGTTCCCCTGGGAATTCCACCACCCACAATCTATCTTTTTCGTTTATTATGCTCACGTTGTTATCCGCTAGACTTTGAGAGTAAGAATAATAACTTTAGGCTTTGATGCTAATTGTGTCAATTTGATGACTGTCACTTTAAATTCAAATAAGATTGTGCCCCCAGTCCTCTTTCTAAAGTAGGCAGAGCTACAAATGCCATAGTGGCAGCTTCAAAACTCTATTGTCTGCTTCTCACTCAGGGCTGTTTATGCTAATGAGGGAGAGATTGTCACTAATGGGTGGAGATTTCACCCTTTTATAACATGTACAAAGGGAGAATGACAATCCAAGTGCTTTTATCAAGTGTGATTATAAAAAAATAGAATTAATTACTTTTTAGCATTAAAGATTGGCTTTAATAACACACAACAGTGAACTGCTCTCAGAGAACTTTCTCAGAATAAACAAACAAAAAGCGCTCTGGGGTAAGCTCAAATGTATGGTCGGTGCTCTTTGGGTAAGGGATTCATCAAAACAGCAACAAGAATCAGTCCAAGGCACTCGAGTAAAGTGAAAAATTTAAAAAGCCTTTATTCACATAAAGGGACTAGGCCGACAAGAAAATGAATGAATGAATGAGTTTTTCTATAGAGGCTTTACATATTATCATTATACATTGATGTATGTGTTTGTATATAGATGTATTTTCCATTTTTTTCTCTCTTTTCCCATATATGCAAGTGGGTGTTTGTGTATCTATGCCGAATTTATGATGAGAGTAGACTTTGCTCGTTATATTATTTGAGTGCCATTTGAGATGTTCAAATGAGTCATGTGACCGTAGTACTCAAAAGAGACTCTACACCAGGGGTGTCAAACTCAATTCCTGGAGGGCCGAAGCCCTGCACAGTTTAGTTCCAACCCTGCTCCAACACACTTACCTGTATGTTTCAAACAAGCCTGAATGACTCAATTAGTTTGATCAGGTGTGTTTAATAAGGGTTGGAACTAAACTGTGCAGAGCTGCGGCCCTTTTGGAACTGAGTTTGACACCTGTGCTCTAGACGCATCTGATCACTGTTACCCTGATGAAGGCAGACTTCTGCCGAAACGCGTAGGTTTTTAGAGATTTAGCCATGTGAATAAAGGCTTTTTAAATTTTTCACTTTATCCGAGTGCCTTGGACTGATTCTTGTTGCAACTTTCTCAGAATGTTCTACGGCTCCCAAATTATAACAAAATAGGAACCAAATGTGTTTGGGATCACTGGATAGATTGCCCAATTATGTTACTCAGAGACTGGGTGTAATAAACAGCTTAACGGACTACAAAAAGATAACAGAAAGAGAGGATCTTTATTTAAAGATTGAGTTAAGTCAATGTTCACAGTTTCAGGGGAAACATCCTTAAAAATAAAGGATTTCTTTCACCGAAGCACAATTACAAACTCAATAAAAAAGTGTTAGTTAAGATAAATGTAATAAACATTTCAGACACAGTATAAAAAGTATATATATATAAAAAGTTATTCTTATAATACAGGCGTTTCACAGACTTTAAAACAAGATTGATAATGTGATAATGGAAGGACGGAGCATCACACAGAAAGGTCACATTTAGTTCAGATTTCATTGAACAGGGTGATGTAAGATGAGTGCAAATCTCTTCAGGCTTTCCACTTCTAGTTCACACACACATCTGCACGAAAGGACTGGCCCTGAAGAGCGTTCAACTGGCTGCCATACACCTTCTGGAAAAAAAATGTTGATTGTTTTCAAGCTGTGCTGATCTATACTTGGTGTAGTAGTTTGTAACTTGCTACAGAGCTTTCTGAGTTGACTTAAATTAAGCCAAGTACAGTACTTGGGTTAAAAGTTGAGTCAACTGAAAAAAAGCTGTACAGCAAGTCACCAAAAAATTTGAAATTGACACAGCTAAGAGGTTTCACTCACTTTAGGTGTGATGACCTTTCTGAGGAGTATCTGAAATCCTCCGACACAATGAGGTCCGGCGTCATGTGCTGCTGCCGCTTCTCCAGAAGACGAATATCTCACAAAGCCCAAACCCTTTGGCCATCCTGAAGAGCTGTCTGTCCTTATCTGTTCACGAAAGGAAACGAAAAACAAAAAGCTGAAATTAATTATTTTCTAATTCTTCCCAAGTGCAGATTTTTTCCAACACATTTTTAAACAATAGTTTTAATAACTCATTTATTTTGTCTTGCTTGCACAATTATTTTGCAAGATACTAGTAAAGTGTAATCTAAAGGCTCAACTAGGGTAATTAGGTTAAATAGAAGAGTTAAATCAATCAGGCAAGCCATTGGACAATCAATATATATGTATATTCATTTTCTTATAGTCTCTTAGTCCCTTTATAAATCTGGGGTCGCCACAGCGGAATGAACCACCAACTTATCCAGCGGATGCCCTCTCAGCTGCAACCCATGTTTGGGAAACATCCATACACTCTCATTCACTACGGAAAATTTAGCCTTCTTAATTCACCTGTAGCGCATGTCTTTGGACTGTGGCAGAAACCGAAGTACCCGGAGGAAACCCACGCGAATGTGGGGAGAACATGCAAACTCCACACAGAAACACCAACAGATCCAGCCGAGGCTTGAACCTGCGACCTTTTTGCTGCGAGGCGACAGCACTACCTACGGCACCATTGTGTCGCCCATATATATATATATATATATATATATTCTAAAAGATATAAAACTTTCTCCAGAAGAAGTACAAAACACACACACACTCATTAAATCTTTTCAGTTGTCAATGAGGCTGAATGAAGCTGAGAAAGTGGTTAGTGAGGACTTCCAACAATGGTTTATGCTTGATTTAATGCACATCTGACTTTATGTTTGATGCACCCATAAAAAGTATTGCTTGTAATGACATTTCATTTATCTAAGCAATTCTATAATAAAGCTGAAGCAGCCAAATTTGATTTGAAAAGAGTTCACTCATACATTTGGCCATGCAAAGGATTTTTCCGGGTAATAAAGTTCAAATATTATTTAAAAATGCATATAAATGTACTTACAACACATTCTGTAACTGTGCCAAATTTCTCAAAGTGGCAGCGGAGCTCGCTGTCGGTCAAATGTGGATTCAGATTCGTAACGAAAATCCCATGATCCTGAAATAAAAAGGAAGAAAGGATGATATTTCCCAAACAACTTCTCTGTCTGTGTAGTGTCATGTTGGTGAACTTGACTTTGCAAGCAATCATTTGTCAGATATTACGTCTAGGATATTACAATATCTCTAATAGATATGGAGGAAAAGGAAAAAAAAAAAACATGAAATTTGAAAATTTTATAATAATAAATCAACAAAACTGCAAAAATGTTATGCTTTTTCTACCCTCCATGAAAGTCATTGGACAACAGTGGCTTGTTTTGTAGCCAGTTGAAAATAATGAATTAAATAATGAGGAATAAGTAATAATAATATTAATAATGGGGGTTAATAATATTGAAATTGGCTAATAATATAACCTTCACAATTTTTACAGTTTATTTTAAAATAACTTTATTCCAACTGGACTAAAAGATCAAAGACTATCTAAATTTTCTTGCTGTTTTAAACAGCGCTTGAGATATTATTTGAAAAAAAATAATTAAAATATATTTTATATGATAGCATATTTGAGATAGCTGAGCAGAGAATGATGCTTTCAGTATAGTTAAATAATGTAAACCAAGTCTTGTGTGTGTAAGAAGGTTAATTTCTAAATGTGTGACAATTTGTTCACACTTTACCCAGTCTCCAAATTTTGGAAATTCCTGATGGTCTTCAGAAAGGCAAATATATAAAGGTCTGGTGGATTCCATTGTTGAATAGTTTAATGTCTATACAAAAGTAGAAAGACAATAGAATGACAATAGTGCAACAGATTTCACGTTATATCCATTAAACCACTATAGCTTTTAATATTAAAAACATTACCAGAAACCTGAAAGTTTAAACGAAATAAGATAATCATACATACCTAAAGCCGACAGTAGTTGATATGTTCTGATACCGTCAGACGAATGAACCAAAGTAGCTCCTCTGTGTAAGGTTGATATGAAATTTATAGTGTGAATGTGATGAGAAGCTCCTCCCACTAAATGCATGATGATTGATGGCATGTTGAGATCTTGCCAGCATGAGCTCACAGTTCCTGAGAATTCACTCTGACATAGCTTTTACTTTGCAATACAATGTCCCATTGAGTGAAGATTATTGACCTTAGCAGTGTTGGAATGAATAAAACACACTGACCGAAATAAAGAGCAATCTTCAGTCATTCCATCTTTATTTAAAAAAATATTGGTCCAAAAATAATTGAAAAGATGAATGGTTACGGCTGGAAGGGCATCCGCTGCATAAAAACTTGCTGGATTAGTTGGCGGTTCATTCCACTGTGGCGACCCCGGATTAATAAAGGGACTAAGCCGACAAAAAAATGAACGAATGAATTTTTGAGGTTGTAATTGATTGTTTATTACACCACTTTTTTACAAAGGCACAAAAAATACATATGATATGATAGGCCTCCTCATACCGAAGAGTTTGACACTAAAACCACTCCTGTCACTCAAACCATCCATTAAAGATTCATTAATAAATGAAAAACCTAATTTTGCACAGCCTTCCCTGGTTTTTTGGTCAATTGCCATGAAACCAGTGTTGTAGTAATCTCTAGACTCAGTAAATAAATAATAATTGAAAAAAAGCTTAACTCTACATTTTGGATAGCTGTGAAAGGCTCATTTACGAAAGGAATGTTTCATTATGGATCAGCATGCCAATTAACATGTAAACCTCATGCAATTGGTTGTGCTCATGTGACATAATTGTAAACAGGTGTGCAAAATTTTGTAGAGATCACACAAAAGGTCTCAAAAACAGTAGTTTCAGTGTGCCTTTATGCTCATTTTAGTTGTTCAATTACCATTTTAGCTGCTGGATGGCAGCACAAGACTGCTGTTGTCGGTGCTTTTCAAAGCAAAATAAAATAAAACTAGAAAAAAGATGCTGATTTTACCCAGCTTTTCACAAATACACTTGATCTACATATCATATGGTAGATTTACTCTTTTTGGGCAGCTTTTCCCAAAGACATCTGCTGTCAATCAAACACTTTAATAACTTTAACTTTAAATAATTTATATTACATCATTAATATACATTCTTACAAGCTATTGATATAATAGTTTAACCATATATATAGTCAGAATTTATGGCTGACGTTAAAACACATCCGCAATGGACATAACGTTGACACACAGGCAAAAAATAAAAAATAAAAATAAATAAATAATAAAATTATATATATATATATATATATATATATATATATATATATATATATATATATATATATATATATATATATATATTTTTTTTTTTTTTTTTTTTTTTGCCTGTGTGTCAACATCATGTCCATCGCGGATGTGTTTTAACGTCAGCCATAAATTCTGACTTGATCAGAATTAAAGGTCCCTAAATGCTTCAACCCCCATAATGCCGCTTGTGGCTTTTATCAGTTTAATTATGTCTTCTGTTGTTAAAGCCCTGTATTTGGTTCAGTTCTTTGTGCGGTATTAAAATTTCAACCCTTCAAATTATGCCTGTGTCCCATGTTTCTGTAGTAAGTGTGGTTTTTGTAAATAAATAAGTGTTTTTTTTTTAATAACCTCCAAGTCTCGATTGTCTGTGGGGAGACACCTTGTGACATCAATAGTGGACAGATCAGAAATAAAACTCCAATAATGTAATTCGCATCCATAAATAAACACTTGTGAATCACAAATACAGAACCTGTTAATTAACAGATGTCTTTTACATTGTACATTACCCAGATAGCATACAAGCGTGGGCCACTTTAGGCAGTTATGCGGCACTGGTGGTACTCCTTTGGCTCAGACAAAATGAATGTGAGCCTGAAGTGGCCCACCTGTACAATGGCAAAGGGGGGCTAAAGATTCAAATTCATATATGGGCCATTTAAGGCAAAGGTTTAGCACTCATGACAAAATGCAATCTGAATGTGAGGCTAATGTGGAAAACGATAAATTTGGCCCAAATGATGGAGGACAAATGTGAGCCACAGTTGGCAAAAATGTGGCAAAGTCATTTAAAGGTAATTTGGGTCTAGGTGGGTAGGTGCAAATGTGGCCCAGATATCTTAAGAAAAACGTGGGCCACTTTTGGCAAATATTTGGCACAGTAAGCTCTGGCTATTGCGGCTGTGAACCTAAAGTGGTCCAAAGAAAATATGGCAAATGTGGCCCAGTAATTTTAAAACATGTGTGGGCCACTTTTGGCAAATACGACACAGTAAGAATAAAAGCAAACTGTGGCCCAGAATAGGGTCAGTTCTGGTTCATTTGGTTGAATTCTAGCTAAGAAGTAGTATTGCTTTGGCTTATTTATGGGCCTGATCTGACAAACAGGAGAGGAGCCCCTAGAGCCATCGTCCCATTCAGTATGTGATCCAGAGTGTCTGGTGTGGGCCAGAATAAAAGCAAACTGTGGCCCAGAATAGGGTCAATTCTGGTTAATTTGATTGAATTCTGGCTAAGAAGTGGTATTGCTTTGGCTTATTTGTGGGCTTGATCTGACAAACAGGAGAGGAGCCCCTAGAGCCATCGTCCCATTCAGTATGTGGTCCAGAGTGTCTGGTGTGGGCCAGATCTGGGCCAGAATAAAAGTAAACTGTGGCCCAGAATAGGGTCAGTTCTGGTTCATTTGGTTGAATTCTGGCTAAGAAGTGGTATTGTTTTGGCTTATTTGTGGGCTTGATCTGACAAACAGGAGAGGAGCCCCTAGAGCCATCGTCCCATTCAGTATGTGGTCCAGAGTGTCTGACGTGGGCCAGATCTGGGCCAGAATAAAAGCAAACTGTGGCCCAGAATAGGGTCAATTCTGGTTAATTTGGTTGAATTCTGGCTAAGAAGTGGTATTGCTTTGGCTTATTTGTGGGCCTGATCTGACAAACAGGAGAGGAGCCCCTAGAGCCATCGTCCCATTCAGTATGTGGTCCAGAGTGTCTGGTGTGGGCCAGATCTGGGCCAGAATAAAAGCAAACTGTGGCCCAGAATAGGGTCAATTCTGGTTAATTTGGCTGAATTCTAGCTAAGAAGTGGTATTGCTTTGGCTTATTTGTGGGCTTGATCTGACAAACAGGAGAGGAGCCCCTAGAGCCATCGTCCCATTCAGTATGTGGTCCAGAGTGTCTGGTGTGGGCCAGATCTGGGCCAGAATAAAAGCAAACTGTGGCCCAGAATAGGGTCAGTTCTGGTTCATTTGGTTAAATTCTGGCTAAGAAGTGGTATTGCTTTGGCTTATTTGTGGGCCTGATCTGACAAACAGGAGAGGAGGCCCTAGAGCCATCGTCCCATTTAGTATGTAGTCCAGAGTGTCTGGTGTGGGCCAGAATAAAAGCAAACTGTGGCTCAGAATAGGGTCAGTTCTGGTTCATTTGGTTGAATTCTGGCTGATATGTGATATTGCTTTGGCTTAATTGTGGCCCAGATCTGGCAAACAGGAGCGGACTGCCCAAGTGTTATCATTCCATGCGGTATGTGGGCCGGATGTAAGTGTCTGCTGTGGGCCGGATTTGAGCCACATGAATTTTGCTGGCTGGATATTAGGTAAAAATAATTAACAATAAGTAATTATCCATAACAATCACCATCTTAACTCATGATTCTGTCACTCTTATCCTAAATTTGCTCTTTTTGAGTATAACTATTTATAACTAAACAGTTTGAACACCAATCAACCAGTTTTCATTCAATATACAGTAAACCATTTGTTTATATTGCTTTTTAACTATCCGCTAGACCCGTTCTCCTATGTCTAGAAAATATATCACTCCACATTGGCTATTGTTTGCAATTATTCTCTTTTATTATTCATCACATCTTCAATCCTAGAAAAAAATGCAGAAGACAGGCATAAATAAACGTGCATGTACTGGTTGAGCCAGTTTTTCAGGTATTATGTTGTGCTTTTTTTGTTGTTTTTAAGGGGATTTTTTCTTCCTTGATAGCACAAGTGATCAACAGGTGACATGTCATGAAAACAGGCAGCCCTGTTCACAAGAAGGAAATCAAAGAAGGAATTATTCTCAGTAAACCCTGAATGCATAAGATCACTCTTGGAATTCTGAGTAAACTGAAAGAGTGGAAACTGACCTCACTGCTGAGATTTCAGCTCATTGAGCGCCTGGATTTTATCTATAAGGAACTTCTTATCTTCACCTTCCTAAGACAGAAGAGATGTTAGTCAGAAATTGTCAGTGAATGTTTGTGTTTGTGTGTGCCTTGGGTCACCTCTCCAACCCTCTCCAGGCTAATGTTCAATAGTGCAAGAGCTATTTATAGCCAAAATGTGTGCCTTTTTATAGTTTTTATATCTTAAAGTTGCCAAATACATTGTGTTAAAAAAAAGTTTTCAGATGTGTTTTGGGGGAAAAACTTAAGCATATATACAGTTTTTTGTTGTTGTTGTTGTTTTCATGGGGAATACTGTTTCTAAAAGAGCTTTTGACAAGGAATTTAACCAGATTTTGGTAAAAACCCAAACGATACAAACATAAAAATATAACAAAATAAAAAAAATCCGTAAAAATTATGAGGAATAACAATGAAATGACACAACATCCGGGGGTGACACACACAACTGGAGGTAAGATCCAATATGCAGGTTTTATTCAACGTCAAGCAAGCAATGGTCAAATCAGGTATAAATGGGTATATGCGGGCAAATCCAGAGTTGTAATCAAGGAACAGGCAATAGGTCGTAAGGCTGGTGGCTAAACAGGATAACAGGGATATACAAGGCTAGGATAGAGATACGGAGAAACAGACAAGGAGAACCGCGTTGTAATATCACTAGAAGCGAACAAGACTCGGCCAACTGGGTGAGTGAATGAGTGGCTTATGAATGGTGTCTAATCAGTCTCTGAAAGTCTTCAGGTGATGCGAGTGTAATCAGTCTAAATGATTGAGCAGGCATGAGTGTCTGGGAGAAGTGTATGCATATGTAGTCCAGAGGAAGGCGGAACTGTAGTCCATGGTTATAGTGGAAACCAGCGATCTCTGGAGAGTGATCGCTGGTTATCGTAACAACTGGACTACAGAAATGTATTTAATACTTTATATAAAAGGCCTTTTTTCTCTCATATTGAGAATTAAGTCACATGCATTGCCCATGACTTCAACAGAGTGTAAAAATCTTGATGGTTTTGTGGGTCTCGTCTATCAAATCTGATCTTTAATTTGTATTTATATATTGGATTCAGGTTAGGTGATTGGCTGGGTCATTCTACAGCTTGTTTTTCTTTCTCTGAAAGCAT